TAGAAAGATAGATACATAGATAGAGCGTGTGGGAGTTTGTCAGTATGCAGTAGGACTGTCTGACAAGTGGATGAACTGACATTGCAATGTTGCTGTCTAACAGTTGCATAATGTTTCCTTCTGTATTCACTCTGATGCCTTTTCCTTTGCCATCCTCAAAACGTCGCCCTTACCTCTGTCGCACCCCCTCATCACCCCACTTTTCCACCCCAGTCCCATGTGTCCATCACCATAGTGACAGCCCACGCTACTCGCCTGCTCGCCGCAGCATCCCTGCGCCCTCCGGCCTTTCGCCAAGGGGGTGCTGTGGCAACCCGGCAACCAGGCGAGGGAGCTTTGCCAAAAGTGGGGAAGCTATAGGGGAAGAGAAGGAGGGAAGGGGGGGGGGGGGCACTGCGGATCTGTTGGCTACTGCCCTGTGGTGTTATGCAACTTCATGTACACACACCCACGCACACTTACTGTAGGGTGACAAACACACACAGACTGCCTCTTTTTTTTCTCAATCTCCCTCACACACACATTCGGAAGCTCTATAGCAAGCATAAGCTCTAGATAATGTCCCTAAGTACCGATTATGACATGACATAACAGATTTCTCCGAGCAGCCCCTGTGTCATATCCCTGAAGCAAATGTTACCCAGACTAACACTGTGCGATGATTTTCATGATTCAGGGTGCAAAAGCTATGACAGGGTACCTTTAAAGTCAGCGATTTGTGAGCACTAGGGGGCAGAAGATTGTCGAAACAAGCTGACAAATACACAGCCACTTCCTTAGCTTTAATACTTGTCATGGCTAGCTAATGTTAGAAAACTTTCCTTAAATATCAAGCAGACAGGGAGCAACATGAGCGTTCCTTTAGTGTTGTGTTTCTCTCCAACTAACAAATGTAAGTTGAATATGCACTCTCCTTTTAGCTCTGTTTTGGTCTCCACCAGCTCCGGCTCTTTGGCTGCTAAATGTTTCTTGTCGCTAGCTGAGTCTGCTGTTTGGTGCTGAGCAGATTGTGTACACTGGGTTTACTAGAGCTTTTTTAGTGGGAACGTGGGTTGATGAGAACGATGACACTAAAGCGTATAGAAAATGTGCAATTAAACCAAAACAAAAGGGCTAAAAGGCAACATACAGCTGCAGCTTTGCATGTTAATCCTGTGATTCTGGCACATTGCGGGAATTAGTGATTACTGTAGAATTAATGTTGGTTTGCTTTAATCCTTAAAAGCAATGCAATATTTAAGTTGCTATATTAACCACATTTGTTTTAAGGTTCAGTAGCCACCACAGTTAGCTAGCACTATGGAGCTGAACCTAAAGATTTTTTGCCTATGTAAGCTTTTTCAAATTCTTAATTTTCAAACCTAACTCCAGTTGTATCCCCCAAAACCTTTAGAGTTTTTGTCTGCGTAGCTAATGATGTTAAATCTACTGATGGAACTCTCCATGTACAGTATAATATGCAATATGCATGTGATACCACTGTTTTTAAGCTAGTAGAATCCTAACATGTTGGTCTTTGTGTCTTACAGGCAAAGTGAAAGGAGGAGAAGAAAGCACTGAAGAGTTCCCCACATGGGACGTCAACATTTGTCTTACAGAATCTGCCAAAGGACGCTTTGGACACGTTCTCATGTCCTCAAACACAAACTGCTAAATCCAAGGAGCTAAAAAAAGAAAAACAAAAAGCCAACTACTGGCTCCAGCAAGTGGACAGATTTTGAAGTAAAAACACGGCTGGAGAGGGGGAGGGTTGTATGGGTGCCAAATCCCCATCCAAGACACACCGCATCTCCTCGATCTGCCGCTGCCGCCTCCCTACTCTTCCTCCCTCCATTTCCTCCTCCTCCTTCGCTTTTCTCTCATTCTCAATCGTTCTCTCTCATGGGAGTGACATAGAGGCCGTCGCTTGGTCTGCTGCCCCACCCTTTCCCCGCCTCGCCGTGGAAACGGGGGCGTCCAGGTAGTGATGTCGTGGAAGAGGAACTACTTTGCGTCGGGTGGTGGAGCAGTAGGCGGGGTGCAGGGGCTGGTGACCCCGAGAACCATGACCTCTATCGCACCCAGCAAAGGCCTGAGCAACGAGCCGGGACAGAACAGCTGCTTCCTGAACAGCGCTCTGCAGGTCAGTCGGATGAATGCACACACACACACAAACACACACACACACACACACACACACACAAATTCAGGGCAGAAAGTATTGAGGGAGTAACATGTTTTGAGTAACATTTTTAGGACCATGTAGCAGTCTTGATTGGCCAAGTCAGTCACCTGACCTCAATCCACCAACTCGTGTCAACTATTTCTAGTCGGGTGTGTTTTATTAGCAACTCTATTTTTTACTATTTACTGAGTGAAACTTAGGCCAAAAAACTCCTGACATAAGTGAGCGTGGCTGCAGTGCAGGCCCGCAGAGCATCATGAGAGGAATCCAAGTGTCTGCTGAAATCTGTGGGGCTGGCGGCTTCAGACAGTGTGAAACATTAAATATGATGACTTAATTTGTCACTTTAACTTGTCCAATTACTTTCTATCTCCTAAAACTGGACAAATGTGATAAAAAAGGGACACAGTTCCTGGACTGATTATCTGCAGGTGTGAATACTCTAATATTAAAGCTAAGAAATCTGCATTTTAATCTTGTTTCATTTCAAATGCGTTATTGCTGGAGTACAGAGCAAACACAATGAAAGATGGCACTTGCTGATTAAACTCTAAAAATGTACCATTCAGTGCTAAAAACAAATAAAAATGCAGGCTTTTAACAGGTAAACATGCACAGTTTCAGTGTTCTGCCAGTATTATTGTGTGTTATAGTGAAAATAATAGTGTTTCCTTTGTAAGGTTGTTAATGACAGAAGCTGTGTCTAACTAATGTAGAGTTTATTTTATCTACTTTCTAATAAGTTGTATATTATGAAGGGTTAAGGTGTCTATATTTAAGCGATTTGCACTGAACACACCCACAGTTCACACGCTCCCCCTCCCCCCACACACACACATACACACACACACACACACACACACACACACACACACACACTGCAGTAAATTGATATTTAAGCACGACAGGGATGGAGCATTAGGGCGCCATATTTCAAGGGGGGGTGTTTTGCGTGTTTCGGTGGGTTGTGGCAGCCGCTGGCCGCGTCTTGGCGCTTCAGGTGGTGGACATCCAGTCTGTGTGTGGAGATGCTTACATGGCGCCCTGGCTGCTTGGTTGCATCTGCCTCTGCCTCCTTCTGTTACAACACACAGCAAACCTTCACTCCACCAGAAGAAGAGAAAACAAAGAAAAAAAACGAAAAACGACTTCGCAGCTAGGACACAACATACAACTTGTCATGCTACACGCACCACGACACTCACACACACACACACAGCGACACATGACCACGTTGAGCTTGTGTGGCTTTGGGCAGAAGAGGGAGAAGAGTGAACGGGGGAAGGAAGGAGA